TGCACAACTGCCATCGTCTTTCTTTAGCAAGCACGTGACATTTGCCTCTGCCCCGTTTGAGGCATCGTCCCAATGCGCACCTTAGGTGCTCTACCAGGCGTATGAAGTGGTCGTACCGAAACGGTAACCGGGAGCTAATTAACTCTATAAATACGGTTTCAAACCCACGTTGTGCACGACTTCGGGTAAATGCTTTTGGCGCTTAGATCTACAATCAGTGCCGGGAACAACTTGGTAGTTCACGGCGTTCAAGCGTCGCGTGACGCTGTACGGGTCAAAGTACCGTCTTAGCAGTTTTCAGACAGTCCCGTCGAGATATCAGAACCCAGACATTGTCGCCTGGGGTGTAGCTAATAAACTTGTCTCGGGTGTCGTAGCTTTGTGCATCTTGATGGTGTTGATGACAGATGGGCACGCGTGCGAGCTGCCTGGCTTCCTCGGCGCGCTGAGTGAATTCTTCGCCGTCTACATGGATGTCGTCACACTCATGCGGCAACATGGCGTCCACGTTGTCGTGACTTCGCGACCATAGATCTAACTGAACCATGTCATTCCAGTGGTTTCTTGTCGAACGGTGTTATAGGCAAAGGTCACGTACGGCAATATCTGATCCCAGCTTTTATGTTTCGTGTCAAGGTACATGCTGATCATGTTTGTGAGGGTCCTATTGAGGCGCTCCGTCAGTCCGTTTGTCCGCGGATGGTATGCAGTTGTTCTCCGGTGAGCTGTACCGCTGAGTCTGAGAACCACACTCGTAATCTCTGCGGTGAAGGCAGCTCCTCTGTCTGTGGTCACTGCTATCGGAGCGCCATGCCGAAGGACGACGTTTTCGATGAAGAACTGAGTGGCTTCTGCTGCTGTGCCGCGCTGCATAGCTTTAGTCTCTGCATAACGGGAGAGGTAATCAGTGGCCGCAACAATCCATCTGTCCCCTGTTGTGGAAGTTGGAAAAAGACCCAGGAAATCCATTACAATCTGGGTGAACAGCTTTTCTGGTGCTTCGACTGGATGTAAAAAACTGGCTGGCTTGCTGGGAGGTGCTTTGCGTCTTTGGCAGTCGGTGCAAGTTCACACGTGATGGTTACCAGCAGCACGTAACTTTCGCCAATAGTACTTGCATCGTAGTCGGCACAATGATCGGGTGTAGCCTAGATGACCAGAAGTTGCTTCATCATTGTACGCTTCCGTAATTCCTCTTTGAAGAGAAGCAGGCACGACGAGCAAGTGCGAGTTACCGGTTGGTGGGAAGTTTTTCTTATAGAGAACATCGTTTCGCAAGGAAAAAGATGGCAGTCGAGTAGTTCTCCTCCATGCGAGAGAGAGTTCTGATGGCGTAAGCTATTACTCTTTCACAGCCGTCTTGCCACTGCACCAGAACCGCACCCAGACCTACATTGCTGGCGTCAGTGTGAAGTACTGTAGGGGCGTCCTGATCAAAGTGCGCAAGGACTGAAGGTGTTTGCAGGCGTTGTCATAGTTGATTGAATGCCATTTGCTCCTGTTTACCCCAAAAGAAGGACGTCCTCACGTGTGAGTCATGTCAATGGCGCCGCAATAGACAAAAATTCCTCGATAAATCTCCGGTAATAAGCACACAACCCTAAGAAGCGTCTCACAGCCTTTTTGTCACGTAGTGTAGGGAATTGCGCTACGGCGTCTATTTTGGCCGTGTCAGGTCAAACACCCTCGTGACTGGCGACGTGGCCTAGGAAGCTGAGTTTGTTGATACCAAAATGACATTTTTCCGGTTTTAAAGTAAGGCCGGCCGAGCGTATGGCTTAGATAACGGTGAATAGGTGGCTGAGATGTTCCTCGAATGATGCTGAGAATACAATAACATCGTCCAGATAGACCAAGCATGCTTGCCACTTCAGGCCTAATAGTACGGTGTCCATTAGACGCTGAAAAGTGGCTGGGACTAAGCACAACCCAAAAGGAAGCACCTTAAATTCGTAAAGGCCATCGGGCGTCACAAAGGCCGTTTTTTCACGATTTCTCTCGCCGACTTCTATCTGCCAGTAGCCGCTTCGGAGGTCCATTGAAGAGAAATAGTGCGAGAGACGAAGCCGATCGAGTGAATCATCTATGCGAGACAGTGGATAGACGACTTTCTTCGTGACTTGATTCAACTTGCGATAATCAATACAGAAGCTTTAGCTGCCGTTTTTTCTTGACTAAAATCACGGGTGACGCCCAAGGACTTTTCGAAGGTTGTTCGACGTCATCCGCGAGCATCTTCTGTACTTGCTTCTCAATCTCATCGCGTTCTTTCGGAGCCACGTGGTAGGGGTTCTGTCGAATCGTTCGCGTGTTATCTTCAGTAATAATGCGGTGCTTTGTCGATGGTGTTTGCTGGACCTTTGACGTACGCGAAAAGCAGTCTTCGAATCGGTGTACCAGCTCAAGCAGGCGCTTCCTATCAGAAGGCGGTAGCGTGGAGCAGATGTCCACCGGCAAAGTTGTCGAGTCACGCCGTCTGTTTGGAAAGCAAAGCAATCCCTGGCTTGGTCTATATTGTCGTAGTAGGCAATTGCGGTACCCTTCTGGATTTGACGGCGCTCGTTGCTGAAGTACGTGAGGAGCACTTCTGCCTGTCCGCCGATGAGCACCAGGACGCCTCTCGCGATGGGAATGCCTTGCGTGAGCAAAAGAGCGACTATGTGCTCCGCTATCACATCTTTATAGCAAGGTCACCCAGTGGACACCGACGCAAGGCAGCAGGATCTCGGTGGGAGCGTCACATCGTCGGCTATTCGCAAACGGCCGTGCAGTTCATCGCTGCTGTTGTCGACATACGGGTGTGCGCAAAATGTCACCATACGTTGAGGGATGTTGATAACAGTGCCATGATTTCGAAGAAAATTCATGCCTAAAATTAGCTCTTACTGCAGTCTAGCGATAGGACGAAAGTGGCCACGAAGTTAGAATCCCCATGCGAAGTCGAGCGGTGCATTTACCCGTGGGAGTAATCAGCTGACCACCAGCACTCCTTTTGTGCGGCCCTGTCCACGGTGTCTTGACCTTTCTAAGGTGGTCGGCGAGCTCTTGTCAAATGATTGAGAAGTCGGCGCCAGTGTCGACCAGTGCTGTAACGTGATGTCCGTCAATAAGAACACCAATATCATCACATACAACTTCATCGGCATTAGTATTCGTCGTCGTATTCGTCGTCGTTGTCGTCATATCGTCTTGCGATGATAGGGAGAACTTTTCGGTGTCTCGGCAATTACCGACCTTGCCCCCGGAGGTCGCAGCAGTTAGTTTTCCCGGCGCGGGTAGGCAAACGCCCTCTGGTGACGTCCGCGTAGCTCTGGGGGAAGTCACGGCGACGCGCAAGAGATGGAGATCGCCAGCGGCGTGGGGTATTTGCTTGGCCAGTCAACAGCTGATCGGCTTCGTGGGTGCGATGGTATTCAGAGTGGAAAAAATCGGGACGAGAAAAGTTCCCGAACCTGAAATTGTCATGACAATAGCCGGCAATGTGACCTGGTTTTTCGCAGTGGAAGCAAATAGTTCGACGGTCAGCCATGCGCCATAAGTCAGTTCGGAGAACTGCTGGTCGTCTCATGGAATCCCGTTGCCACCAAGGCAGGGCAGTGCGTCGTGGCTGGAAGGTCGTCGCCACAAATGACGGTGGAGGACGACGGACCACATCAGCGTAGCTCGCTGGATGTGGCTCAGGACTTGGCGCGGGTGTTGTAACAGCTTGCCTCAACTCCTGACGGACGATTTCGGCAACAGATGCGACAGGTGGTTGGGTAGGATGAACGCAGAAGGCCCGAAGTTCCTCACGCAGTATTTCCCTAATCATTTGTCGGAGGGAACTTTCGCAGATGGCACTGTTCTGAGCTGCAGCACTTACTGCCATGTGGTTCGACAGGCGGTCAAAGTGTCGGCATCGTTGTCGCAGTGCACGCGTGATGACAGTCGCCTCTCTTATGAATTCGTCTACTGTTGTAGGTGATTTTCGCGCGAGGCCTGCAAACGCTGGTTCCTTAACACCCTGCATTAGGTGACGCACCTTCTTAGCCTCGGGCATGTCAGGGTCAGCTCGTTGAAACAGACGGATCATACCCTCTGCGTACATGGCGGCTGTTTCGTTGGATTTTTGCACGCGAGCCTCAATCAGTTGCTGTGCGCAATCCCGTTGGTCCGAGCTCAAACCTGTGGCGAGGATCTTTCGACGGAAATCTTCCCAAGACCGGAAAGTAGTTTCGTGGCTCTCGTACCACGTGCGAGCGCTATCTTCCAGTGCAAAATATGCACGGCCAAGTTTGTGCTGTTCGCTTCAGTGGTTAGATACATCGACCCGTTCGAACTGTTCGAGCCAGTCCACGACATCCTCGTACTCTTCCTCACGAAAAACTTCAGGAACGTGAAGATGTTCAAGAGTCACCTGCGAGGGAAGAGTGGTCTGCGATGGAACGGTAACTGTGGAGGTGGCAGGCGCTGCCATGCTGGTAAAAGGCGGAACAGGTGTGGACTCCGGACTTAGGCAAGGTAGGCGGCAGCTGAATCGGTGCACGGGAGTCGTGACGAGGGGCTGAGTCTCTGGACTAGGTGAATGGGTGCGAGCAAGACAGTCCTGCATCAAGGTGTAGGCTCCAGCACCTCCACCAGTGTCATGACGTCAAAACAGAGGTCTTGCCCCAGAGATTGAGACACCAGAAGCAAGTCTTGTCTTGCCTTGTCTTGTCTTGTCGCCTAGGAGATCTTGGCTCATACCCACAAGGGGGATCGGCCACACTGTATCTTATCTATTTTTTAATTAGAACGCGCAAGCGAGTTCTTCTTTTTCGTCCATTTCGTAAACTTTCGTGGCACATGCACAACTGCCATCGTCTTTCTTTGGCAAACACGTGACAATATGCTTGTTGTTTTCAAGACCCACCTACGCTCCAACATTGTTTCGGAAGCGCCAGAAACGTTTGCAGTGCTGGCAAAATTTTCTAATACCATGCTCGAAAGCGTGTGTGGATTTGCGACACCAATAGGGTGCTTCAATGCCTCAAAGAGGCCCTCTCGCCCCTAGAGTGGGCAGCAGGCACGCCATTATATCTCCTGTATCGACATCCGCTTGCTGCTTCTTGAACTGCATTAATGTACGCAGTATCAAGTCATGTGTAAAAGAAGTGCCACTTCTCGTAGCAAGAAGCACATGGAGTTTTCTTGTGTATAGGTTTTCCTAAATGAAGGAAGAAAGCTGAATAGGTCCGCCAAGTATATTCTTTCAAAGAACATATTCCTTCGATGCGATGTGATCTTATACACCATTTTGAAAGTGTCCAAAGCCTATCACAAAACATCTAACAATGCACCTTTAGCAGCATGCGTTTGAGAAAATTATTCTGCTGAAATTTGATTCATTTGATTGATATGCGGAATTTAGCGCCTCAAAAACCACCATACGAATATTAAAGACGCCGTAGTGAAGAGCTCCGGAAATTTCAACCACCTAGGGTTCTTTAACGTGCACCCATACCCGACCGTACAGGCCCACAGCATTTTGGCCTCCATCGAAAATGCAGCCGCTGCAGCCGAGATTCGATCCCATGACCTTCGGGTCAGCAAATTTACTGAAATTGATCGTACGTGATAAAACCATGCATTAAAGTAAAATCAGTACGCAATCAATGAAAGCGAATGCCCATAGAATTTTACCTTTTGAACGATGCGCTTTCCTACCCAGTCAGGAAAGCGCTGGCGCGGTGTACTCTATATTTAATATGTAATGCTCGCGTGAAAATCACTACGAATAAATGGTACCAAACAGTGCGAGTTACCCGAATTAATGGTACCAAACAGTGCGAATTACCCATTTGAAACTTGTAAATGCAGGGCTTAATCATAAACTAAACTATCTCCGTACTATCTCGGTAAAGTGTTATGACCACGACGGCGACATGATAACCTCCTGTTGCCCATTATAACACTGACCACGCCTTTTAGCGTGTCGAGCAAAGAATATTGAGGTTTCCATTCCACACGACACTTACGCGCTCTGCATGTGTGTACTTCAGACAGACATGGATTGAGGTACACAAGGAGTAAAAGAGTGCAGCCCTGAAATGACGTTGCCGCTCCGCCTTTTAACCGTGACATTTCAAGGGTTATCCGAGACGGCTAAGTATTCTGCTACTTCCCTTTTTTGACGCTGCCCTTACCGCCACCATAAGTATGATGTACTGACTGTCCACGTTTACCTAGTGCTGTTCCCGTCATCATCTTCTTCTGTGTTCCTTTCAGTGCTATATTATCTATATGGCAATGATGAAACGCGCCTAAATTTTACATCTTCAACAATTACCTGTCAGTGAACAAATTTTGATGGATCAAATATAGTTAGAAACGACCAGTCGGTTTATATTACGGTGACTCAAAAGAACAAGATTGAAATAGACGAGGCATCACGAGCAAAGTATAAAATTAGTCATGGGGAGAAGTTCATCGGGTCCATTACGCATATAATATTTCTGCGTTTGCAACCTTCAGATGCTGTTCTGTCGTAATGAAGAGCACATCAAAAGAATCGTCTTTAACAAACACAAAGTATGCCTTTATAGCTTACTTTAAGAAGTTATTGATGGCATCTTTGGAGCAGGAAGAGAATGATAGTTTTCTATTCGGTGACGCTTTTGGTCACCGAATAGAAATAGAAACATCAGAAATAGCTGACTCGCTGGACAACCCTGGGAGCTGCCTTCACCGTCATGAGGAACACCCATCCTGTAAGTAACAGACAAAATAACCCCAAATGTTCAATAACGTTACGTATTCGTTCAATTTATTCAAAAACACCAACAAGTCGGCTACATTTGCTGATTTATATTTCTTTGGCTTTATAATTGAATTATCTTTGCCTCTTCTGTATGAGACAAATTACTGAAGCATTGATGGGCATGCAGGTAAAAACGAAAACACTGAAGGAGGAAGCCACTGAAAAAAATAAAGGCAGATTCGCCCTAATGGTGGCAAACCTGAAGGAAGTGGGGTGCTGCATAAAAATTTCTTCTTTTTTTTCTCTTTGTTCTTCCACGCTTTTTTTTGCTCACTTTGCGCTTCTTATTTATTTTCCTCTGCTTTCATTTTTGTATTCTCTCTATTTCTCGGTTGCTTTTTAGTTCTATGTTTTTGGCTTTTTACATTAATTTCACTCTTGCTTTTTCTTCCTGCAATCGTGGATGGATGGATGGATGGACGGACGGACGGATGGATGGATGGATGGATGGATGGATGGATGGATGGATGGATGGATGGATGGATGGATGGATGGATGGATGGATGGATGGATGGATGAATGGATGGGTGGGTGGGTGGGTGGATGGATGGATGGATGGATGGATGGATGGATGGATGGATGGATGGATGGATGGATGGATGGATGGATGGATGGATGGATGGATGGATGGATGGATGGATCCGGCTGTGCCCTTTAGATTGGGCGGTGGCTCACGCCACCTAGCCATAAAGTTAAGGACTATCACTGTGTGTTTAAGAATTGAATTTCACTCGCACCTTCATTGTAGCCACCAATCAATTAGCCTCCTGCTGGTTATTTCTACCCGTGTAAAGTCAATTCTGCCTTCACTGTCACTAAACCCCAAAGCTTTGAAAAATTCAGCGCCATTATATTCGACTATAGGGTGGAGGCCTTTGAAGAACATTATGAAATGTTCAGCAATTTCGCCCTCCTCTCTACACGCACTTAGAGTGGAGTGAGCACTGCAGCACCATCTAGTGAGCAAGCCAGTACTAGTGGAGCGAGCGCATAGCGCCATCGCCATCGCCGTAGTAGTGGCTACTACAACTACTATGATGCCGGACAAGTCTATGCCTAAAGGAGCTACGCTCACAAAATGCCCAAACATTCACCTTCGGTATGCGTCTAGAGAAGCCTCACAAAATATAACTCCCACCATCCTATTAACTAGCCATTATTTGCAGCAAAAGTTAGTCTGTCTACTTGTCATCGGCGCTGGTTAGTTTTAGTATATGTAAACTTTGACCAGTACTATTGACTTTTCAACACAGCTGTGACGTTAGTTAACTTATAAGAGACATTTTTTTAGGTTCGAAGCTCCTTATGGCGTGGCTTGTGCGTCCGTCGTTGCCGTGCGTAACCACGGATGGCACATACCCGAGAGAGCGGTCCTTAATATGTCGGCTGGATGGCGGTACTTGTATATGATGAATACATAATTAAAAGGTGTGAGATGGTGGGTACTTGGGGTGTTCACTAGATATACGGACGGACGGAGGGTTGCATGGACGGATGAACGGACGGACAGACATACATATTGATGGACGGGCTGACGGGTGCACGGACTGGCAGACAGAGGGGTGGACGCATGGGTGGACGGATGGACGGACGGAAGGACAGAAGGACGGCTGCACGAAAAGATGCACGGACGAGCGGACGCATCAATGGTCACACAGATGGACGGACAAACGGACGGACGGACGCATGGACGGACGGAAGCAAGAACAAATGAACAGACAGAAGCATGGAGGGACTGACGAACGCTTCGCCCCACCAATCATCATACAGACCGTTGATATGCTGTGATTTTTTTTCTTGGGCATGGTGTCTGCACAAGAAGCGACGAGAATTGATGAGACGCGTGAGTGGCTCCGGTAATATCCAGTGCCGTGGTGGCACTCACCAACACTACTTTTACTCGTATACGAGAACACGGTACAGCATTATGGTGGCATATAGAGCCGCACATCACGTTCGCTTTTTTTCAAGCTGTCGTGCAGCTGTAGACGTGATTTATTCATAATATAGATACAATTCTTCATGTTTCTTTAGTTTTTCTTCCCTCTATATTCTTACAAGAAAACATAATTGCGAATATTTACGATGTTTACTAGCAATGGCAATGGCTGACACACTGGCGGGCTGGGACGAGTCTCTATCCACTTCGTAGTCTTTTCTTCCAACCAGAGACCCTCTACCGCTTTATGCCCCAATACCACTACTGCCTTGTGGCACTGCCCCGCGGCGTTAAAGCGCCGATCGGCGCTTGTCACAAAAGCGAAGTGTTTGGCGACATATAAGACGTGCACAACAGTAGATGGTAGTGGCGTTGAGTGCGCTTCATCGACGATTCGCTGTATCACGTAGGTGAGGTTAGGGACCTTGCGTAGGACTTTGTATGGTCCGTCATAGCGAAATAAGAGCTTTGCTGAGAGGCCCATGTGACGACAGGGAGTCCACAAGAGTACTAGTGAACCGGCGGCATATTGCCACGTGCATAGCTGCATTTAGCGGCGAGATAGCGACGACAACGAAGAACGCTGATTTGCTCGAGAGGCGCAGCGCAGGCGAGTGAAGAAGACGACAATCTTAGCGGCCTTCTCTGAGAGCGTCTCTACAAGTTCCACTGTCTGTGTTTTTAAATAAACCCCCTGTAATTTATAACCTACGACACTGGTGGAGGAGCTGGGTACTACCACCTCATAATCAGCGCCCCTGTGAGAAGCCCCGAGTCCAGCCCTACGAGACAGCCACGCGTGGAGACGCCTGTGCACCGCTCAAGCCGTCGCCTTCAAGGTCTTGAACCAGAATTTGGCCTTTTCAAAGGAGCAACACTTCCGACAGCCACCCCTACTCAAGAAATGGCAAGGAGTCCTGCACAGGTGACGGTCCAGAACATGCGCATTCCTGAACCATTTCATGGCCGGCGGAACGAAGATGCGCAAGACTGGCTTGAGCAGTTTGAATGGGTAGCTAAATCGAACTACTGGAGTCTCGATGGAAAGCCCTTCCACGTATACTTCACCCTTGAAGACGGCGCGAAGACGTGGTTTATAAACAGGGAGGCAACACTGACGACATGGGAGGAGTTTTGTCGTCGGTTTCTTGACACCTTCGGTAACGCGGACCGACGCGAAAACGCACAACGCCTTCTTGACGGACGCACCCAACAGCTGCATGAAAGCGTCGCCATGTTTGCTGAGGATATGGTGCGTCTGTGCCACCGCACGGACCCCAACATGCCCGAGGCTCGAAAGCTAAGCCATCTCATGAGGGGCGTCAGAGAGCAGCTATTTGTTGGTCTTGTGCGCAATCCGCTGACAACAGTGGATGAGTTCACCAGGGAAGCCACCGCAATAGAGCGTGCGCTGCAGCAACGGTACCGACAGTCTGATCACCCGGCCACCGGCGCAGCTGCAGGCACAGCCGCACTTTCCGCAAACGACGATTTTTCTCTGCGCCACCTGATTAGACAGATCGTGCGTGAGGAGATCGCGAAGGAGAACGCAACATACACATTGCAGTCACAGGCGCCCCCGGAGCAGGAGTCCACGGTAGCCTCTGTCGCCGAAGTCGCTCGCCATGAACTTCAACAAGCGTTTGCCTCTCCTCAGCAATATTCCGCTCCACCGCATCGTCCAAACTCGTGTACCTATGCAGACGCTGGGCGTCGTCCATTGGCTCCAGATGTATCCTACCAGCCGAACGGATACAGTTATGCAGACGCTGTTCGTCGACCCACGCCCATACCAGCGCCGCGGTACTTCGAACCGTATCCTGTGGCAGCCTGGGCTCAGCAGGATTCTGTCAGGCGACCCTATATGCGGAAGACCGACATATGGCGCACTGCGGATCGCCGACCACTCTGCTACAACTGTGGAGAGCCAGGGCACATTTACCGTTTTTGCCCACATCGCCGAGCTGAATACCGTGGTAGTGCACCTACAGCAGCGCGCCGACAGTTCGACGAAAGCCGTGCCCCCATCGACGACGACCAGGCTGGCAGGCGGGAAGGCTCTTCTACCTTCCGAACGCGCTCATCATCCCCGGCTCGCTTTGGTTCACCAAGCCGCCGTAGTTTTGCTGACGCCGTCAGAGGCCGGTCTCCCAACCCACGGCGGGGAAACTGAAAGCAGTGACCTCTGGGGGGAAGGTTGCAAACCGTCGAATCGCCGAAAATCCCCCACTGCTGCCGAAACACGTGAGAGACGACGATGAAGAGTCCGCCGAGAAAACAGTGACTGCCGACCTCGCTGTGACGATTGACGGCGTTGAAGTGACGGCCTTAGTCGATACGGGTGCAGACTTCTCCATAATGAGTAAATGATTGGCAGACGAACTCAAGAAGTCAGGATGGTATGGATGGGCCCTTATATCCGAAATGATGGGGGCCAGATAATGACTCCCACGGGAAAATGTACAGCAAGACTCACGATTGAGAATGTGGCTTTTGTAGCCACATTTCCGATCCTACCAGAGTGCTGCAAACCTATGATACTGGAAATGGACTTTTTAAGAGAGTACGGTGCTGTGGTCAACATATGCGATGGTGTGATCACATTCGCCGCTGACAAGTCTGTGACCCATGATCCAGACCAAGAACCCAGGGTGTCACGTGTGGTCGACGACGACGTCTGCGTGCCACCACTGTCATGTAGTCTTGTTTCCGTGTGTTGCGCCGTGTGCTGTAATGAAGACGCCATAGCCGAACGCATCACTGCCCTTCTTTTTCGCCAAGGCATCGCCATCGCTCGCGGCATCGTCAGCTTAGTGGATGGGCGCGCAGAGGTGCTTCTTACCAACTTCACGAATGAGCGCCGGCACATCGGTAAAGGCACGGCTGTGGCGTATATCGAAGAGCTCGATTACTCTCACGACTGTCTTCTAATGCAAGGGGAAGCCACAGCTCAATAACCTCCACATACACTACCAGTTGATATCGGTCCGAGTCTAACACCGACTGAAA